TCCAGTGTATATGTTCTAAGAACTAGAATATTCACTTACATAAACCAGAGGTGTGTGTGTGTTTAAATATAATAGAATCAGAGCAGCTGGGGAGAACTTGAAGAGGTCATTTGGCTCCTTCCCAGGCTTCTTGCTGGTAAATTCCTAGAGTAAATAGCTGTTTTCCAGGAGTGATAAACCCAGATTCCCCAGGGACCAGGCCTGTGACCTGAATGTGAGAGGCGCACAGGCTTGGACAGTTCTGAGGACGCGTACGAGTGGCCCCATCTAAATGAAGAGACCAATGCTATGCTGAACGTAACCTTATGTACTGGCCACATCTGTCCCTCGGGTCATCAGTTTTGAGCCCTGGATCTGTCTTCAAGGCTCCCATAGGGTGGAGCCTCCGGTTTTCTTTGGAAGCGTCTTGTTATAGTCAAGTTCTCCTGTAAGTCTCACGAAATCCTCGGCCAGGTTTCTGAGGGGCAGCAGCACGCAGGGGTGAAGAGGGTGGGGTCCAGCCTGCGTGTGGGAATCCCATGGCCATGAATTACTAGGCTAACGGGGAAGTTACCTACCCCTTCTGTGCTCCCATTTTCTTCATCGGTAGAATAATAGTAGGCGCCGTCCTCCCGGGGCTGTTGTCAGAAGTAAGTGGGTGAGAATATTTGAAGCGTTTGAGAGCAGAGCCAAACCCTTGCGTGGCTGTGTGCGGCCAACGCTCCCCTGCAGCCTGCAGGTGGTAGGGTATGAGTGAACTGCGGGGACGACTCCTTCTCCAAGTCCCAGAGGAGCTGTTGGTTCTGCCGTCCCTCTGTGCTGCCCCATGGTCGGACCCGCAGCCTTGGCCCTCAGCTCCCGGGGGGTCACTGCTGGGATTGGCCGTATGTGGCCCCGGGCAAGTTATTGAATATCCCAGGGTTGTCTCCTTATCTGTGGAATGGAGAGAACGAGGCACCCCCCCTGCAAGGGGCCGTTGCGAGGAGTAAAGGCATCCATGGGGGCAGAGTTTGAGTGCAGAGAGTGCTGGCCAGCAGTTGTGGGTGCCCCTCTAGAGCTGCCACCTTCCCCTGCTGTGTTCTCTGTGCCTGCTACTCAAGTCCCCCCACCACCGCCGCTGGCACCCCGCGGGCTTTCTGTCCCTCCCTCCCTGCAGGTGCTGCTGCTGAGATCACCAGTGGCCTTCTCTCTGTCCGGACCTGAGGTGCTGCTTCTTCTCTTAGGCTCTGGGAATGGTTTTAACAGTGAGGTCATCCTGTAAGCAGGGTCCAGGCCGGGGGCAGTTGAGGGGCAGAGAGGAGTGGAGAGGCTCACGGAGGCAGGACAGACTGAGTGAGTGGCAGAGAGCTAGGCATGGCAGGTCTGCGGAGCGTCTGGGCCTGGAATGGACAGCAGGCAATGGGCTGACAGTTGGAAGAGGAGTAAGTTAGAACAAGGAGTAGTGAAGGAAGCAGAGGGAGCATACTCGAAGGTGCTAAGGCACCTATCAGAATGTCTTCAACATAAGGAAGGAAGATATCTGAATATTTTAGGGCAAAAGAGGAAGCAACTAGTAGAGGAGAGGATGAAGATGCTGAGTGGAATGCAAGTGTGTCCAGAACAAGAACCAAGACCGAGGGGCTTAAGAGTACACTTATCGAGGGAGAAGAGGGAGACCCAGAGCAGGCTCGCTGTCTGCTATGTGAGGACACAGAGAAAAGTGGCCATCGCAAGCCAGGAAGAGGGTTCTCACCAGACACCTGATGACATCCTGGTCTTGGACTTGGCAGCCTCTGGAACTGTGTGCAATCATGCCATGTTTTCATCTGCCCAGGCTGTGGTGTGTAGCTTGCAGCCTGAGCTGCCCCAGCAGGTGGTAGGAGGGTCAGCCGTGGTGCCCAAACAATCGGCGTCTGTTCTGGGAAGTAAGGGACAGGTCTGGGGGCTCTTCTGCTGAGATTAGGTGTATCCACGGTATGGAGCTTGAGGCAAGGGATGATAGATGGATAGAGCGAGCAGGATGGAAAGTTAAGGGGCCCAGAATCTACGATGGGGCAAATGGCCATTTTGAAGGGTTAACGAAGAATATTGAGCAGCTGCGTGTAGATGAATTAACCACTAAACACAGCTCGAGGGCTAGTTTGTAGGGGTACAGGTGTGTTCTTGAGTTATTGTATTGTTCTTTAGGCCACTGTGGACTTGTCAGCCAAAGAAGCTTTGCCTTTTCCTCTTACATCAGTCAGGCCTTCGTGTTTTAGGACTAGAGAGAAAGAAGCAGCTTGGTGCGTGAGGGACATCAAACGAGCTTTGTTTTCTGTGGTCTCCCTCAGCAAAGTGAGACAGTCTAGCTGGAGTTACTCAGGAGAGGCGAGGAGGGTGATAGGTCCTTCAAAGGGGAGCCAAAGGGGAGAGAGGAGAATTTTCTGGCTGAAAGGAAGGACCTGCCACCCTCTGATGCCTGCTGGTGGTGGCAGGACCTGGAGGGTGGGGGGTGCGCAGGTGGTTGTGTGCACACTGAGTGCCGAGCACCAGCCCTCCCATCTCCCCAGGAAGCCACCTTCCTGAGCCAGGCCCATCTGCATCCAAGCGCGCTCACCTCTCTCTGGTCCTACAAAATCTTCCTTGACCCAATGTCCCCTCCAGACATCCCTTCCTCCCCTTCACTTCACACATCCATCCTCCTGAACCCAGTGCAATCAGATTTCTCCACCATCTTCGACGGCAGCTTCCCTCGTCAAAAAATCACCACCAGTCTCCTTTCCTAAATCCAATGGGCGTCTCTCAGAACTTACTCGACTTCTCAGCAGCATGTGACACCAAGATGATGCCCACTTTTCCCCCATGTCTTTCCTTAGTTCCCTTGACACGGCCCTCTGTGGATCTGTGGAGTTCTCGCCTAGCCCTATGGCCCCTCTCCCTCGTGTCTAATGCAGGCCCTCTTCCTTGGACCGCTGGGTCAGGGCCAGTCTCTGGAGAGTTCTTGCTGGACCCCTGGCTGGTCTCTTCCCGTCAGCACACTCTTCTAAGACCTTCTTCCTGCCCACGCCATCTGGGGGTGGATCACGCCCCACCCGCAGCTAGTGCCTTAGCCCTTCCCATGTCCTGGGTGTTGGAAGCTACAAAGGGCTCATTTCAAACTGGTTTACCATTTCTTGGAGAGGCACAGGGGGATTGATTACCTTGCTGACACAGCACAAAGTCATTCTTCTTTTCTCTCTACATACCTCTCTTCTCACAGGCTGACTCATGATGGCAGCTATTCCTAGCCATTTCCAGAAATGGGGGGTATTGGATTTATAATTTAAAATGTTCTAGTAACCATATTTAAAAAAAGGTAAAAGAGAAACAGGTAAAATTAATTTCAATGCTATGTTTTATGCAACCCCGTATGTCTAAAATATTTCATTTCAACATGTGTCAATTGAAAAATTATCCATGAGATATTTGACAGTTTTTTTTTTCCGTACTTGGTTTTTTGAAATTCGTGCGTATTTTACACTTACAGCCTGTTGTCACTTGGGCTGGTCCCTTGCCCAGTGCTCAGTAGGACCACTGTCCCGCATGCGTGCCTGCAAAGGCTTCCAGTCCCCTCACCTCGCCCTGTGCCCCCCCAGCCCCGTGCTCCCCCTCCCCGCCCTCCCCATCCTGCAGGGTGACAGCCTTTCCTCGGATCCCTCTGATTCCGGACTTCCTGTGGTTCTCTGATGCACACAGAGAGGCCTGGAAGGTTATGGAGGGGCTAAATCTGTGAATACTGACCGTATCATGTTTTGGTTCCTGCCTCATTAACTATCAGTTGGAACGTATACAGCAGGAGTCTGATGTTACAATGATATATTTATTACAGTGGTGTTAGCCAGATTCATGGGACATCTTTAGGGACTTCTTGGAAGTATAGTCTTATAGAATGCTTCAGCGTCTAGTCCCACCATCATGTTCACGTCCTGCCTTCATGAAGGATGTGGGCGTTAACAACAGTGCACAAGTGTTAGGACTGAGGTGCTTGGGCAGGTAGGAAACAGGAAGACGTTACATGTTAAGTTGGTCCTCATTTATTGTGAAGGAAAACCAATAAATGAAAGTTAATCCCATCCTCCACAGTTACTGACTTTCAGTTTTCCTCTTGATATTCATCCTGCAACCTCTTTAAGTGAAGAACCTAGACATTCTTATTTAAAATGTTTTCTCAGTAAAATAGTAAATATAACACCACCGATATTATCCAGAATGGTAAAGAAATGAAATATCCTAGTTGAGTGAATATTTGTGAAATCAAGTACACATCCAAATACTACAACTTTAATTTTAATAATTTTAAGTGGAAATACTTAATAATCTATTACAAATCCTGTCTTAGCATCTAGAGAATACTGAATGTAATTCAGACTCTTCTTAGGTTATTTGCTGAATTAAATTACATTGTTATGGGGGGGCAGGAGAGTAACTAATATCTATGGAGTGGCTACTCCTCCAAGAGCTATGCTTTTATTACGATAGTTCTCATATTTTACTGAGGGTGTTCCCAGCCCCATTCTAAGTATTTGAAGGAAGACGCTACATTTTGCCCACCAGGTAGGCTTATGCAGTCGGAGACTAGCCCGACCTGCCTGGCGCCGTGCAGAGCTGGGATCTGAACTCGAGCGAGCGCGCACTAGAGGCCACGTGAACTTCAGCACAAACCTCTGTCCTCCTTTTACAGATGCAGAAACTGAGGTGCAAAACAGTTAACTAACTTAAACTCGGCTAGTAAGTGGCTGACATTTCTTTTTCTTACTCCTCCGTTCTTTCCGTTTTCTAGAACTTTCTGGGTTTTGGCTCAGGCAGGCCTTGCGTTTGCTAATCAATGCACACACTTCTTTCTCCCTTTGGTTCGCTTGTCTGCCTCTTCCTTTCCCCAGAAAGTATCTTCTATCCTCACAAGGCAGTACTTACTGAGTGACTTTGTTTGCTGGGCTACAACCACCCTGAAGTCCTTTAGAGAGACACCGCACTTGCTTTTCAAAGTTTAAATTCTGAAACTATTGACCATTTTTTTCCCACAGAGAGATCGGAACAATTGTCAGGTCGCTAGGGTGCTGCCCCAGTGAAGGACAGCTGCATGACCTGCTCGCAGAGGTAAGCCGGCTGGCAGCAGGGCTGCGTGCGGTGGGCTCTCTACTCCCCCTGCTCCTTGGATCTAAAAACCGTTAACTGCAACTGGGCGTGTCCTAAACTAAAGAATGTGCTTGATGAAGACATTGGGGCAGCTTTGCAGATTGGCCAGGCAACAGTTCTGAAACAGTATCAGATCTGGAAGAAATGGCTTTGACCAAGTAATGCAATGGCTCAAGTAAGGAGCCCGCCTTAGATATTATTTACACTCTTTGAAATTAATTGAAGAGGGCCTCTGGGTGGCTCAGTCCAGTTAAGCATCTTGGTTTCAGCTCAGGTCATGATCTCAGGGTCATGGGAGGGGGCCCCACATCAGGCTCTGCTCTCAGCGGGGAGTCTGCTTGTCCCTCTCCCTCTGTTCCTCCCCTGCTCGAGCTTTCTCTCTCTCTCTCTCTCAAATAAATAAATAAATAAATAAAATATTAAAAAAAAAACTTAGTTGGAGAAAGGCCATCAGATGCAGGGGACTGACTGCAGAGAGAACACTGACAGATGGAAGGAACATAGTGAAGAATGTCAGTTCAGAGGGGATGGAAAGGGAAGTAGAGACTGTAAGAGATTTATATTTATTGAGGGGAAATAAAACTAACTTTCAGAAGAAATAGTACACATAATGAAATAATAAGAACTAACTTGATATTGACGGAATGGTCCAAGAATTTTAAAAACGGTTATTTGTAATAGTATAGATGAGTCTCTGGAGAGAATTACCCCAAAAAGCAGTGATGAGTGGCCCGAGACCAGAGAGCTCCATGCCCTGTTTGGTTTTCTAGAAAAGCGTCTGGTCTAATATCAAGTGCAGTTTTCAGTTCAACAAAGCAGAGGCCTGAAGGGAACAAAGCTACCTGGGCCCCCACCAGGAGAAGAATCTGTTCAGAACTGCTGATCTAGGTGTGTGGGTTTTGGTGGAGGCCAGGCTTCGAGCAGGAGACGGGAGGCAGGCAAGGAAGTGGGGGTTTGGTTGATTTTTGTGCCCAGCATGGCATTGGGGTGAGTTACCTAACCTCCGTGCCAGTTTCTCCATGAGAATACCTACTTCAAAGGTAAATGAAGTAATGTATTAGAAGACTTGTTTTGAATCCTAAAGCACTATATACAGTTAAGAAGTGGAAGATTGAAAAGAGGACTCTGTTGCCCACGTATTAGCATCTTGTAACTAAAAAGCAGGACTGGTTTTTCATTAGCATTTAAAAATATTCAGTAAAGCACAAAATCTTTACATTGTTTTTCTGTTTGGGGATCCAATAAAACTATTTTTACTCAGAGGAGAAAAATCTTATTTTTCCTGAGTTGGTCCTCACATTTTTAAAAAAAGGTGTTGATCACTGCTTGACAGTGTTTATCGACAAAGCTAGAATTTGTGCTAGTGAAAGAGGAGAGTTGGCACCATGGAGCAGATAGGAACTGGAAGATGAACTTACAGTGAAATCATAATTACTGCATATACTTCAGTAGAGTAGGTGGAAGAGTAAGGAAAAATGCCTCCAGAGAATAAAAAAGCAGAACCTTTAGAGCCTAATTCCTTTTGTCTGTTTTAATCAGCAAACCACAACCCCTGGGCCAAACCCCATCCACCACCTGTTTTTATAAATAAAGTTTTATTGGAACACAGCTAAATTCATTTATTTACATATTGTTTCTGGCTGTGCTCTCATTGCAAGAGGAGTTGAGAGTCCTTGCGACAGAGAGCATATGGTTCGCAAGCTTAAAATATTTACTGTCTGGTCCTTTGCAGAAAAAGTTTGCCAACTCTTCATCTGTAAGTTTCTGTGGCAAATTAGAATAAATACCACATCTTGGGTCAGGAGGTCTACATTCGAGGCCCATAGGTACCACTTACAGCTATGTGGCCTTTCAAAGCCTGGTTCCACAGCCACAAAAGGAATGCAACAATAGTAAAGTGTATCTTTATGAGGATTAAATCTAATAACTGTCAGGATTCATGTGTTACTTGGTGGGCTCTCAACACATATTTGGGTTTGCTTGCTCTATAGGTGGCTGTCTGCTGAAGCAACCCCACGGGTTTGCGCAGTTAATCACAGTAGATGCTTGGGTACCAACGTTTTAATTTGTCTTTGCCCCTTTCTTAGACATACTGACACAACCTTTGAAAATTGTACACGATTAGAGCAGTTGTACCAGTAGGGATCACTGTGCTATCTAAGCCCTATACACATTTTTCTGTCCTTATGCACAACTTATTCAAATTAAATTATAGCGATATGCATAAGAAGTTTTGGGCGTGACTCTCCTTTTTGTGGTTTCCCAAATAAGTGAGGGGAACAAAGCACATAGATAGTTGTAGGTATTGAATACATTTACAAAATCAGAGCTCCAGGTAGTAAAGCTCTAGGGGTGAATGTCCTATTGCTAAGTGCTCTGTAGTCGTTTCAGAAATGAAACTATTTCTGCTTTTTTTTTGCTTTAAAATGCAATAATGTGATAATTCTCTAAAATTCTTCAATGGGGCACCTAGGTGGCTCAGTCATTAGGCGTCTGCCTTTGGCTAGGGTCGTGATCCCAGGGTCCTGGGATCGAGCCCCACATCGGGCTCCCTGCTCAGCCAGGAGCCTGCTTCTCCCTCTCCCTCTCCCACTCCCCCTGCTTGTGTTCCCTCTCTCGACATCTCTCTCTCTGTCAAATAAGTAAATAAATAAATAATAAAATAAAATTCTTTGATAAAACGTTAAAACCTGTGTGCAGGTCTCTAGTTGCCATTTACTTGAGTTTTAGTCGAAGTACATACTGACTCTCAGCCCCTCACTTCCAAAGAGCGATACGAGATCTGATGTTGCTCTTGAAATAGATCATTTAAAAATCGCTCAGCATTGATCCCTCTACTTCATATTCTACAATTACCAACTTGCCCCAAATAATCTCTGCACATTTGGAATATCACAAAACTCAACAACTGTGACAAGGGTTAATACCCAAATTTTATTGACATACAGGTTACAAACAATTCTTCCTTTTCTAAGAAGTTATATCCTTCCAGGATCTTCCATGTGGGAGCTGGGAGGACATGACAGCATCTCAGTACCAGTGGGAAGGGTGTGGAGAGGTCGACAGCCTTTGAAGTTCAAACCTAAATGGAATTGTGGAGAATTTAAACTAATTAGAAAGGAGAGCTAAAAAAAAAAAAAGTTTGGAAAATAAGACCTATGTTGGTGAGATTTTGACATTGTACAGTGATTTTTTTAAAAGGTCCATTTATCTCTTCCCCTGAGTGGCCTGAGGTGACCTCTGAAAATGGTTCGCTATTCGCTTGACCCAGAAAACCCTACGAAATCATGTAAATCAAGAGGTTCAAATCTTACTGTTCACTTTAAGAACACATGTGAAACTGCCCAGGCCATCAAGGGTATGCATATCCGAAAGGCCACTGAGTATCTGAAAGACGTCACTTTACAGAAGCAGTGTGCCATTCCGTTGCTATAGTGGTGGAGTTGGTAGGTGTGCCCAGGCCACACAGTGGGGCTGGACACAGGGTTGGTGGCCCAAGAAGAGTGCTGAATTTTTACTGCACATGCTTAAAAATACAGAGAGTAATGCTGAACTTAAGGGTTTAGATGTTGATTCTCTGGTCATTGAGCAAATCCAGGTGAACAAAGTCCCCAAGATGCGGCATAGAACATACAGGGCTCATGGTCGGATTAACCTGTACATGAGCTCTCCCTGCCACATTGAGATGATCCTTACTGAAAAAGAGCAGATTGTTCCTAAACCAGAAGAGGAGGTTGCACAGAAGAAAAACATATCCCAGAAGAAACTGAAGAAACAAAAACTTATGGCCCGGGAGTAAATTTTGCACAGAATAAATGCAAATAAAAATAAAAAGAGGAAAAGAAAAAGGTCAATTTATCAGAATGGTATAAAAATTTTAAATGTCTGTGTATGTAATAACAGAGCTGCAATAGACATGAAACAAAAATGGACAGATGAGAGGGAGAAACACAATTCCATCATCATAGAAGGAACTTATAACAACCCTCCCTAAATAATTGATAGAACAACTACATAAAATATCAACAAAGACATAGATGATCAACCGTTAGTCACTCTGGCCTAATTGATATTTATAGGACATACACCCACAAATGCAAAATACATGTTCTTTCCAAGCGTACAGGGAATATTCAATAGGGTAGATTAAGTGCTGGGCCATAAAACAAGTCTCAGTAAATTTTTAAAATTAAAATCATATAGGATATGTTCTCTGATTTTAAAAATGGAATTGAGGGGTGCCTGGGTGACTCAGTCAGTTAAGTGTCTGACTCTTGATCTAGGCTCAAGTTCATGAGATTAAGCTCCATGTCGGGCTCTGTGCTCAGTGTGGAGCCTGCTTAAGATTCTCTCTCCCTCTCCCTCTGTCTCTCCCCACTGCTCATGCTCTCTTTCTCTAAAAAAAAAGTAAATTAAAAAAATTAAAAAAGGAATTAAGTTAGCAATCAATTGAGAATAAGATAATTAGGAAATCCTCAAATACTTGAAATTAAGCAACCTTCTTCTAAATAATTCATGAATCAAAGAAGAAATCACAAGGGGAATTAGAAAATATTTTGCCCTGAATGTTAATGAAAATACAACATGTCAAACTTTGTGGGATACAGGTAAGCAGTGCTTAGACACCAATTTACAACTTTAAATGTTTACACTGGAAAAGAAAAAAAGACCTAAAATTAATTACCTAAATCCTCATCTTAACAAGCTGGAAAAAGAAGAGCAACATAAACCTAGTATAAATGGAAGAAAAAAAATTATGAAGAGCAAAAATCAGTGAAATAGAAAATAGAGAAAATCACTAAAAGCAAAAAACTAGTCTTTTCAAATAAAATTGGAGTAACCTCTAGCTAAGGTAATCAAGACAAATTACCAACATCAAAATTAAAGGAGGGTTTATCATTATCCTTCAGACATTTTAAAAGGATAATAAAGAAAAACTTTATGCTAATAAACCTGGCAACTTAGATGAAATGGACAAATTCCCTGAGACACACAAATTACCAAAACTGACCCAAGAAAATCTGGAGAATTTGAATAGCCCTGAATCAATTATGAAAATTAAATTTATAATTAAAAAACTTTCCCATAAAGAAAACTAGAAGTTCAGATGGCTTTGCTAGAGAATTCTCTCAAACATTTATGGAAGCTCAAAAACTAATGATGTAATGTATGGTGATTAACATAACAATAAAAAAATAAAAAAAACATTTATGGAAGAAATAATACCAATTCTACACAAAACTCTTTTTGGAAACATCACAGGAGATAACACTTTCCAGGCCAGCATTACTCTGATATTCAAGCCAGACAATCCTATTACAAAAAAGAACAGAGCTTACTGACATAGATGTAAAAAGTCCTTAATAAGATTTTACCAAATCAATTTCAACAACATGTTTAAAGGATAATACATCATGAGCAAGTGGAGTTTATCTCAGGAATTTAAGGTTGGCTCAACATCAATCAATGTACTTTATTATTTATTACATCAACAGAACAAAGTAGATAGACCATATGATCATTTCAGTAAATATAGGAAAAGCATTTGAAAAAATTCAGTACCCATTGAAGAGAAAAATACTCAACAAACGAAGAATAAAAGGAAACTTGTCAAGCCAGCCAAGGGCAGCTACGAAAATTCAAGGCTAAAATCATACTCATACTCAAATCATGAACAAGGCACAGATGCCTGCGTTCATCACTCCTATTCACCATTTACTTGAAGCCCCAGCTAGTACAATAAGGTAAGAAAAAATAACAAAAGATATGCAGTTTGGAAAAGAAAAAGTGAAACTCTGTTTCAGACATGATTTTTCACGTAGAAAATCCTAAGAGACTCACCAAAAAGCCACAACAAGAACTAGTATGTGAATTTAGCCAGATCACAGCCTACATGGTCAACATGAAAAATCAATTTTATTTCTATAATTAGAAATCAACAATAAGAAAAATGAAATTAAGTAAACAATGCCACTAAAAAAGCTTAAAAATAGAATAATGAATAAATTTAACAAAATAAAGGCAAGACCTATTCACCAAAAACAGCAAACACTATAAAGAGAAATTAAGAGTTAAATGGATAAATATATGTGTTCATGGATTGCAAGATAACATTGTTAAGAGGGTAATTCTTTGATTAATATATTCAGTACATTTTCAATCAAAATTATAGCAGGATTTTTTTGAAGAAATTTATGAGCTGATTCTGAAATTTGAATGGAAAAGCAAAGGAGCTAAAATAACCAAAATAATTTTGGAAAGGAAGGGCAAGGGTGGCCTTTTACTAACTGCAAAATTTACCATGAAACCACAATAATCCTGACAAGTGTGATATTTGTGTACCAAGAGACCTGTAGACCAATGGAACAAACTGGAGGATCCAGACATAGAACCATACTTATATCTTTGACAGAGGTGCCAAAGTAATCCAGCGAAGAAAGGATCATCATTTCAATAAATTGTATGGGAGCAAATGGGTATCTGAATAGAAAGAAAACAAACTTCGGCACTCTTTTCCTCCACACAAAAAGGTTAACTTGAAGTGGATCATAGACCTGAATAGATGAGCTAAAACTATAAACTTCTCTGGAAGAAGACAGAGAGAAAACCATGTGATGTTGGGTCAGCCAAACATTTCTTAGATAAGACACAGAAAGCATGAACCATAAAAAAAAAAAAGCACAACAAATAACGATTACCTTCATCAATATTAAAAAATTTTGCCCAATCAAATGACACAGTTAAAAACAAACCAAGTAAATGTAGATCACAGATTGAGGGAAAATATTTGCAAATAATTTATTTGACATTGTATCCAGAATATATTAACATCTGTTTTAACTAATATTAGGAAGGCAATCAACCCAATTTTTAAACTGGCCAAAGATTTGAATAGACATTTCATAAAGGAAAATATATTAATGGCTAACAAGCACATAAAAAATGATGAACATCTGTACCTGTTGGGGAGCATGAAGTGCCATACACATCCACGAGAATGGCTAAAATTTTAAATTCTGAAAATATTAAACACTGGCACAGTGTTTAATATTAGTACACAAATTCTAGAACAGCTATAATTCACACATTGCTGGTAGGAATATCACTTTGGAAAACTGTGCCAGTGTCTTATAAAGATAAACATACACTCATTATATGACCTGGCAATCCTACTGGTAACTATTTATCCAAGAAAAATGAAAGTATGGTCCACACGAGATTTGTAACCAAATGTTCTTGATAGCACTAATCATAACAGCCCCAAATTGAAAATAACCTAAATGTCCATCGACTGGGGAATGGATAAATCCTATGGACCACTACTCTACTCAGTGATAAAAAGGAACAAAATATGATACACGCATGACATGGATGAATTTCAACAAGAACATGTTAAGCAAAAGAAGTCAAACATGGGACTTCCGAGGAAGATGGCAGAGTAGGAAGACCTTAAGCTCACCTCGTCCCACAGATACAACTAGATAACACACATATCCATGTAAAAAGCCCAGAAAATGGCCCAAAGACTGGTAGAACAGACTCTCCCTAGCTAACCAGAGAGAAGAGGCAACATCCAAGAAGGTAGGAAGGAGGGAGACATGATCGAGAGCCAAGTGGAGCTGTGGGACTGACCCAGGGAAGGGAGGGATGTTTTGGGTGCAGAGAGGGAAGGGAGCAGACCCCCACCCTTGGGACCCCAGGCACAGGGGACAAGCATGGGAAGATAAATCCCTATAACATGTGGTTTTGGAAACCAGAGATTGTAAAATTGGACTTTAAAAAGATCCATTGTATGTGTACTGACACTGAATCCTGCCTTCAGATGATAAACTGACCCCTTCTCACCACTTCCACACCCATCACCTTGGTCCAAGCCACTGCCCCATCTCCCTGAACTACCATGGCGGTCTTTGAACCCTCTGCTCCTGCGCTTGGTCCTCTGCAGTCTACTTGTCACACGATGGGCAAAAAGGATGCTTTTAAAAAAGGTTAAGTCAGAGCCCGCCACTCCACTGCTCAGAACCCTACTTCTGAGGTGCCCAACTCACTCAGGAAAAGGGCCCAAAGTACTGTTACCACAGCTGGCAAGGCTCTAGGTGGTCAGGCCTGACACTTCCTGCCATTGTCCCTGCTCACATGTTGGTTCCAAATATGTCTGCATACTTCTACACAAAGTCTTTGTTCTTGCCCTTACCCATGCTCTGGGCTGCTCTTCTTCCAAGTACCCACAGCACTTAGAGACCTGACGTTTAAATCTGGGCCAGAGTGAGTCCTAATGTGGCAAGAAAGCATCTCGGTGATGATGTTGCCATCCCGAACTGCCCCATGCCTCACTGGTGTCTTATGACTCTTTATCTTTGGAGGTTTGATACTAGGTAAGATCTCTCATTCTGGCAAATCTGATTTGACAGTACAACCCTTTGTGTTTCATCTGTAGTGTTCAACATAATCTGAAATTACCGATTTACTTCTGTCTTAAAACTCCCTTCTGTCATAAAAACTCCTTGAAGGCAAGGATTTATGCTTTGTACATCAGTGCATCCTTAGCACCAAGAACAAAGTCTGACATATTCTGGTTCAAGAACATGCTGTACCATTTCCTGTGGGCCGAGCAATATTCTGGTTATAATTACAGTTCTTACAATGTCTCTTTTTGCTCTTGCAAGACCTACTATCAGAATAGTGGAAAATTCAGGCTTGCAAAGCACTGCAGACACTTGAGAGAAGAGTTTTACAATAGATCTGATCCATGGGCTCAAAAATTCCAAGTTTCCAGTAGTAAAAGTAGTTAAAAACTATTGCAAGCTGGTAATCATTCATTTATCAAATAATTATCAAGCAATTACCATGTGCCAGGTACCAGGCATTCAGAGACACAAGAACACTGAAAAAACTCCATCCTAATTTGGCTCAAGATAGTTTCAAACACTTTAAAATTGTGAACATCAAAAATTTAAATACATAGGCATTTAAATATTTGAGATTGTGTTCAGTCTCATTCATTTAACTAAATGAAGAAACTCACCCACAAATGAATGTTCAGTTGCATTTTCTGTGGTCAATGATTTAATGTTAAATTAATAGTGGTGAGAAGCCTTTATGATGTCAATGTGTTCAATATTCCCTAGTAACCAGCTAAAACAATGTAATGATTCTACTGAGTCATTTCCTGCATTTTTCATCTTGGATGAAAAATATCATACCACACCAGAAATACCATAAGCCCCAGAGGTCCCAAATCAGTTTCTCATTTTTAATTGGTTAAGTATTCTCAGAAATTTTTGTCTTTGAAACTTCAGAAATGGCTGTCTAGTTAGTAGAGTAAAATCTATATAATCCACACACTTGTAAAGTGGCCGTGTCCATCCGTCTGAACCATAACTGCATCATCCTGGTTCCAGATGAGCCCTGAGATGTCACAGCATTCAGAATCCAACTGTGCCAAGCTTCTCAGAGATTGGGAAAGGGTGAGGTAATTATGTTCTGGTTTTGAAGCAGCAGGTGATGTGAAACATTGTTGTCTGTTATTTTTCCTAAGCACCCTGGCATGGGAGAAGATGGGAGAATGTAGTAGATCTGTTCTAATTTGTGCGGATGTTAGATGCTGGAGTTAAAGAATTGTAGACTGATTGGGGCACCTGGGTGGCTCAGTCGGTTAGGCAGCGGATTCTTGATTTCGGCTCAAGTCATGATCTCAAGGTCCTGGGATCAAGCCCCACCTCGGGCTCTGCACATTCAGTAGGGAGTCTGCTTGTCTCTCTCCCTCTGCTCCTCCTCCTGCTCTCTCTCTCAAATAAATAAAATCTTTAAAAATAAATAAAAAAGAACTGTAGACCAAGAGGTACTTTGGAGATTACCTGGTGATGGCTACCAGCCATGACTTCCAAATGGAAAGAGGTAAATTGGGGGAGGGGTGTTGAGGGGATTGTGTTGTACAAGGAAAATATCTGTAGTTAGAAGAAAAACACTAAATGGTGCTAAAGCAGCGATCAGCAGCAGGAAACAAAACCCAGGGAAATCTATAAAAGTGGTTTTCCCTCTCACATAAATACATGGTATTTATGAATAAATGCATTTCATAATTTTATATAAAACAGCCATAACAGGAGATTAATATGTTTTTATTTCAAAATTTTTATGTATATTGGAAATATAGGAAATTTTTAAAGAAATAGAGAAAAATCCTTTCCAATAATACATCACCTTAATATGACCATTGTAATATTTTAGTGCACTTCCTTCCATATTATTTTCCTGTGCATGTTTTCAACATGATTGTAATCTTATAGTATAGTTAGTTTAGCTGGAACCCCTTGACTTCTTCCCCCCACAAGAGAATGAAATAGGGAAATTAATGGCTTGACAGCCACCAATTCCCCCATAGCTTCAAGGTGTAGAAACTCACAGGTGGAAGGGACATTATCAATTATCTGGTTTAGCCACCTGTTGGTTCTTAGCATCTCTGATGGTCTAGCTGAGAGATGATTCAAACTTTTTTTTGATACTTATATTAATAAAAGGGACTTCTAACCTGAAAGAATCACATATCCTAATTTTTGTCCAACAGCCTCTGCAATGTCTGTAGTAAATAAATTTTCTAAAGTCGGTGACTTTTTAAATTTTCCATTTGGGGGCGCCTGGGCGGCTCAGTTGGTTAAGCGTTGTACACTTGATTTAGGCTCAGGTTATGATCTCAGGGTCCTGGGATTGAACCCCTTGTCGAGCTCTGCACTGAGCGTGGAACCTGCTTAAGATTCTCTTTCCCTCTCCCTCTGCCCCTCCTTGCTCATGCTCGCTCTCTATCTCAAAAAAAAAAAAAAAAAAGATTTTTCATTTGTAAAGGTAATTTTTTTTGGCAAATGCCAATTAATTTTTGTTATTATTTTATTCCATCCAAGGTAGAGAAGTATTTTCTAAATTGTCCTGTTTTCATTTTGAAACATGATTTATGTCAAAATTTGAATATGTTATTTAGAGTCTAACTTGAAATATCTCATATCTTTTTTTTTTTACTACAAATAATTAAAAAATGGTATGTATATCTTATTTGGTGACCTGGAACTAGTTGAAATGTAGATGCTTTATAAACCATCTTAACTACTGATATTATCTTGCATTTGTGAAGCATGAAATAGTTCAATTTATTGACTAAGGGTTGTGTCACTGGGGAAAAATGAATTTTCACTGCGTGTTTTATTGCCCCTACTCAGTGAGTTTGGCATTAAAATAAATAATGCTTTAATGAGAAAAGTTGGCCTGATGATTTCACCGTGGGAATGGGGTAAGGAACTCTGGGCCGTGGTCCCATCAAAACACCTGACAGACAAGGTGGGCACTTCACCTCCGGTGCCTGACTTCAGCAGAAGCAAAACAGATTGAGAAAATGGACTTTTGCCAAAGTGGAGTGAGAATCAGGCTTTGATTTTTTAAAAATATTTTTTAAAAATCCCACACCATATATATTTACTGAGCAGCCTTCATGCTGGGAAGAGGGGGCAGAGAGACTGGGGTGTCAGCGGCCGCTGTGGTGGCCTCCAGGACGGGGCCCTTTGTGGGGCCGGGAATGGGTGTGCTCTCTTCAGGCCGCCTGCTCCGCCGGGGTTCTTGGGAGGGAGCAGCCCGGCGGGTCAGGGCCCTGGTCGGCCAGGCGAACAGCTGCCAGGAAGATGAATTCACTGTAAGTGGGGTACTTGAAGGCGGAGCTGGGGGGGGTCTTCCTGCAAAGTGGCTTATTATTTCTGCATTCCTAAATGCTGCCGAGGCTACTTGCCAATTGTTACCTCCTTTTCAGCACCTCATCCCTCCTCGTGGCTGAAGCAAACCAGATTATAATGTACTTGCCTCGTTCCTGTTGGCGGTAATAAGATCTATTGGTTGGCTTGGTTTTGTCTTTTGAACAGGAGGGGTGTGCTTGGTGGCCAGCTGGTACTCCCCCTGTCGGATCAGCCAGTCCAAAGAGGCACCGAGGGAGGAGGCAGCGGGGGAGGCAGGGGGAGGCAGCGGAGTGAGAGGTAGGGGGAAGCGGGGGAGGGAGAGACGGAGGGAGGCGGCGGAGGGGGAGGCAGGGGGAGGCAGAGGGAGGTGGCAGAGGGGGAGGCGCATGCCCTGTCCTCCCGGCCGGGGCCAGGGCCAGGCACAGGGTAGTAGATCGGCCCCGCAATGAAGCACGTTCTCGCCACAGGCCGTGTGGCATTTACAGACACAAGTTAGGTCCATTTGGTGGGTCCAGGAGGCTGTGTTGGAAATTTCAGCACCAGAGATTGATTCTTTCGGGAGGAGGTGTCATTGCACGATAGAGAACCAGGTGTGTGTGCACTGTTGATAGAAATCATCATAATCATAACAAAAGACTCACAGTTCACAGAACCTCCTGTCATGTCTCATGTGAACCTCACGGCAGCCGCGTCGGGTAGACCTGCTACCGAGGAGGACGCGAGGGGGGCAGATTAGTCAGAATCTTTTATAAACTGTTCTTGGTCTCACATGTTGAATAGATTGTGATATTTTTCCGTGAGAAAGGCAACATCCATTTTTTGTAAAGAAACTCTCCAGTACAGGGTAGAAGTGGGTTTTCCCACTATGGCTTTGCTCAGAGTGAAGAAATGGCCATGAATTCCTAGTGTTTTCCAACATGTCCCCTATTACCTGGGGGTCTTTCTTGAGTTCATTTCGTTATAAGTCGGTTAATTGAGTTTTTTCTTGGAGAAAGTAGATCCGGGCTGCATTATTTTCTCTGTATCAATTCTGTAAAATCAGTTCTGAATTTCGAATATCTGCTTTGTTAATCTCCAATTGGTAATTAATGGGACTTAAGCTTGATAGTGATTCAAAGTCTTTGGGTTACAATGTGTCATGTATACTTAGAATGTGTGTGTGTGTGTGTGTGTGTGTGTGTGTGTGTATGTATGTGTGTGTGGGTATGTGTGTGTGTTTGGTAGAGCTGCTATAAGAGTATCACAAATAACTTAAACAACAGGAATTTATTAACTGACAGTTTTGGAGGTTAGAAGTACAAAGTTAAGGCACAGGCAGGGTTGGTTCCTTCTGGTGTCTGTGAGGATCTGTTCCAGGCCTTTTGCTGTGGCTTGTAGATGGCTGTCTTCATGCTCACATGGCATTCTCCCTGTGTGCATGTCTCTGTGTTCAAATTTCCCCTTTTTACGAGGACACCAGTCATATTGGATTAGGGCCCACCCCAATTACCTCATCTTAACTTGATTACCTCTGTAAATTACCTCTCTTCAAATAAATCACATTCTGAGGTACTGGGGGTTAGGACACCAATATACGAGTTTGGGGAGGACACCCTCAATCCCTAACTCACTCTCTCTCCCTACATCTATGTATATATCCCCCTTTGACACACACACACACGAATATAGTTCGATACATGATACATTTCTATGAAATCTTAAAGTCATTTTATTTTATTTTTTTTTAAAGATTTTATTTATTTATTTGACAGCGAGAGAGCACAAGCAGGGGAGCAGGAGAAGGAGAGGGAGAAGCAGGCTCCTCGCTGAGCAGGGAGCCCGATGTGGGGCTCGATCCCAGGACCCTGTGATCATGACCTGAGCCGAAGGCAGACCCTTAACCATCTGAGCCACCCAGGTGCCCCTTAAAGGCATTTTAATATATGGGTCTAAATAACCATTGAGCCATTATTGTGTAACATTTCTGGAAAGTAGTGTTTTTGTCCTGTCTTACTATGGCCTCATAAGGTTAACTAGCTTGTCTGCACCAGAAATAATAGAATCACATCTTATCCTTCCCTGTCCCCACTCTTGTTTCCAGATTCCCAGAATCTTGTTTCCTCATTATGATAGAGGAATTACCATATTTTAAAAATGACTTTTTAAAAAAAGATTTTATTTATTTGTCAGAGAGAGAGTGAGCACAAGCAGGGGGGAGCTGCACACAGAGGGAGAAGCAGGCTCCAAGCTGAGCAAGGAGCCTGACACAGGACTCAATCCCAGGACTCTGAGATCATGACCTGGGCCAAAGGTAGATGCTTAGCTGACTGAGCCACCCAGGCATCCCGAAAAATGTCTTTTAGAAAAACAAATGGAATCCAAATAGATCATGGAGTTTAGTAAATACTAATGTATTAATATCACTCCATTAATTGTGACAACAAACCAACTAAAGTTGTACCATAGTGATCTAAGGGTTAACAACAGGGAAAACTGGGTAGGTGATATAATGGGAACTCTTCACTATTTTGCAACTTTTCTAAATCTAAATCTAAAACTATTCTAAAATAAAAAGGTTATTTTTTTAAAGATTTTATTTATTCGAGAGAGAGTGTGCTCGAGCACAAGCAGGGGGGAGGGGCAGAGGCAGAGGGAGAAGCAGACTCCCCGCTGAGCAGGGAGCCCAATGCGGGGCTCAATCCCAGCACCCTGGGATCATGACCTGAGCTGAGGGCAGACGCTCAACCAACTGAGCCGCACAGGCGCCCCCAAAAGGTTAAATCCTAAGAAACCTTTTATAATATAAAATATTTTCTAGTATATATTAAACAGGTTATTAACACTGTATTAAGAATGGCCATATAGTTGTATTGTTTTTATGCCCTTGCATGTCTTTCTGTACAGAGGAAGGGATTAGATGTGGCCTCTAGAGGACAGTGTTGGGTCATAGAAAGATTTTCACAATCTGCCCAAGATGAAGGTGGATTTGCTTATTTTTCCTATTCCTTTGTAACCACAAGCCCTCTGTTTATTCATTATTTCTCTTTGACTTTAAAAAAAAGTCAAAGAAAATGTATGCCTCTTCTGCTATCCCGATTAGCTGGAGATCTGCTTTAACTTACTGTTTTTGTGCAGTTTTGGCTCTTCACAGATAGATGGGGCAAGAATGATTGCCATTTTCACCCTGGCGTTCAGAGCCCTTGGGGGCTCGTGGAAGTCCTGTGGGAGCTCGGGGAGCATCACAAGGCACATACTATGTGTTGTGAATTCTTGCGTGGTAGAGAGAGTGCTAGAGAGGTGGATTCCCTTTGGAAACACTACAAACCATTTGTAGATTGATGAGGATGCTCATAAAATACAGAGGGGTTTTGATCTCTCAAGGTCAAGACTGTTTGCTCCATGGTGATTTGGAACCATTGCTCTAGCTTTTGGAGCATATTTCTGTGTAGGTAGTTACAGAGTGTGACTCAAGCACATCGGAGCCAGATGAACATTAATTTGCAAAATCTTGCCTCGTACGTAGAGGCAGCTGAAACAATTGTTCATGTATTGATGGGCTCAGAGATTCTGGAGTATCATTCCGTCATTAGATGGATGACAATTTCTGTTGATAGTGGAATCCGAGGGCTCTGCTCATTCTAGGTGAGAGCATCCAGTATAAATACTGGAAAACAGTCATTTGGACAACAGGGTATTCCACTTAGCAGCAACTTACAGATTTCTTATATTTTGCTCAAAGAATAAATCTTTTAAAAGGTCGTCTGTTGAATTGGGATAGATGAGCCTTTTAATGGGATTTTTGAAAGGGAGTAGAAATTTTCTAGCTCCTTGTAAATTGCCTGACATGAAAGTTCAGATCAATAGTGTTTTATTCAACCACACCATCAAAGTGAACCTATGGGCAGGAGTCTCTCCTTCTCATCTAACAGTGCTAGATACCAAATTTCTCTTTCTCAGGTGTAGTGTTCTCTTATTTAGTGGTGGTATAACAAAGTTCCATTAACCATGTAGGCATTTAGTAATTATTACAGTGATTTGATATGTACTTTTGTCCTTGAGATATGATTGGTCCCCTAACCTGGTCCCTTATCCCATGTTCCTTATCACAGGGAAAAGCATTACTCCATCCCATTTGTGCAAGTCAGAATCCTTGACTCCTCTCTTCTTTCTCATCCTTGCCCATAATAGATGCAGCACCAGGTTCTATTGCCCTTTTTTTGTGTGTGTGATTTATTTATTTTGAGAGAGAGAGAGAGAGCATGCGCACATGACTGGGTCAAGGGGCAGAGGGAGAGGGAGAGGGAGAGAGAGAAAACCTCCGACAGACTCCCCATTGAGCGTGGAACACCACACGGGGCTCGATCTCACGACCCTGAGATCATGACCTGAGCCGAAACCAGGAGTCGGACACTTAACAGACTGAGCCATCCAGGTGTCCCTGGGTCCTATGGCTTTTACTACTTAAATATTTCTTGAAATCATTCACTTCTTCCCCATGGCCACCACTCTAATCCAAGCTCTATCACAGCTGCTGAGTCCACCACAGAAGCCGCCTTGCCCACAACCAGTGTGATCTTTCACACGCACATCTACCAGAGTTTCAGGGATCTCCCGTTGGTCTTAGGATAACAACCAAAGCCACTTTCATGGACCATAAGGCGCTGTAAGGTCTGGTGTCTCTCTCTCCCTCTAGCCTCATCTGGAAACATTCTCCTCCTTGCTCCCTACGCCCCCTAGCCTCCTGGCCTCCAAGGCCTCCTCTGCCTGGAGTCTTGTCCCTGCTGGCTTCTACTCACACTTTATAAATCAGCTCTGGTGTGATTTCCCCATGAGTGCCTTTCCTGATCTGGCCTAGAACTTTCCTTTGCTCTCCACTCTAATAGACCCAAGCTCCTTCACTTCGCTGTGTTTATAATTAGACACTCAGCTCTGTTGTTTTTTGGTTAATCTATGTCTCCACGACCAAATAGAAACTCTATGAGCAGAGACCATGCCCAAGAATGCTCATTATCAAATTCCTAGCCCTTGGCATAGTGAAAAGGAGTTGCTCAATATACTTGTTGAAGTAATATGTGGTTATATTTTGCTGAATGTTTAGGTAGAGGAAGAAGAACCCACTGGATACATTCGATTTGAAAAATTTCTTCCAGTGATGACCAAAGTACTACTGGAGAGAAGGTAAGAAGGTACATGCAATTGTTAAGGGAAAGTAATGATTAGAATTCCATTAATTTCAAAACACTTGGCTTTTTCACTTTGTATATTATACTCAACCAAATATTTATCCTGGGATAGCTCCCTCTGACTTTTCACTATACCTCTGAACTGCCAGGTGAAATGTGCTTAGACATATCAACTACTTTTGTATTAATCTTATAAGCAAAGTGTAATTACAGAGCAAAAATGCCACAAAAGTCATAAGTCAACAACATGTTTATTATCTTCTATTGTGAGCTATCAGTGAGAATTCACCCTACCTCTTTTTCTAAGGGACGTGTAATGTTACCTTACCACAGTTGGTTTATTGTAGAAATTTTGTTTCCAAATAAGTTGATTTTCACAACGATGAAAAAGGCTAATAGATATCACATAGGCCAGTGATTTTGAACTTCTGTGGGTGCGGAGTACTTTCGACTTTCAGATCTAGAAATCCAAACATGTTTCAGTGAGGGAAATATTATTATCCTTGTATCTTAGCAGCTTTTATTTCATTTTATGTGATCATTTATTGTGTAGAGACTGAGCTAAATACTGTGGTATGTGCCCCTTTTACTGCATAATTAGATACAGACCAAGTCCAGAAGATACCCTTCTTCGAGCGTTTGAGGTACGTAAGCTCCAGATTTTATATATATGTATGTATATGAAAAATTCATCCTGTAGAATTTATTCACCAAACAAAAGCTATAATATCTGCCCTTTCTTTTCTCTTAGGTGTTAGATCCATCTAAACGTGGATTTCTGACTAAGGAAGAACTGATCAAGTATATGACTGAAGAAGGTAAGAGTAATTTATTCCTTATTTTATAACTGTGACTTATTTAAGTGATAAATAATTTAACAACAATTATGGAAAAATTCTAGGAGACACTCTTAAATCAATCATTTTGGTTCAAAGAGTTATTTACTATTCCTATTATTTTGGTATTGGTGTGGTTTCTGTTTTGTGGGGTTAAGTGGACAAAGCGTAGGTTGAGGAAGATTGATTGTTGCCTTATAGGATTTTGTAACGAATAAAGATACTTCTGTAAATTGAAGTCACTCCATTCACTTAGAGTATTTTTCAGAATAAAAGCTATGCCTCTTGGAAAACATGGACTGTCAATCATTATAAATCAATGCCTGTTACTAGATTGAAGATTTGAATTGGATTATATAAAAATTCCTTTTTAAACAGCTTTTCAGTTGATGAACTTACAGATAATACGGCCTCCATTGCATGGAATCCACACAAAAACTTACAGCTTTTTATGCTGGTGGAACTCTGTATTTGCTTTGAGCTTGACCTACACACGCACACACACTCAGCCATCGTATTGGCACACCTATCCGTGCCGCCATGTTTCCTTGAGGCGCTCTCTCTCTGCTTCGGCTGATGTGTAAGTTTGTTTTCCCTGAATGTCAGTGGCCTAATGGGTGTTCTCTTGAAACCATGCTTCCCTTGGTCACCTCCCCAATCTCCCATCCTTTGTTCAGTTCACTGGTTTGCAGATCGAGCCCAGTGTGATTCAGAGTTGTAATCACTTGAGATGGAATCGAAGTGCAACTAATTGCAAGGAGGGGAGACCAACACTGCGTTCACCTGTGCAGCTGACTGGACCACGTCTGCCTGACTCACTATGATGTGGAGCCACAGGCAGCGAGGGCAAGAATGACATGGCTGTCACAGCTGCCACCAACCTCTTGTGACACTGTAACAGATGTCTTAGGAGTTCACTTTGAGTTCACTTAGGAGTTCACATTTTAAGGGGAGTGAATCCTGGGTTATATTAGGCAATATGAATTGGTCAGAAAGAGTTCATTGTCATTAATATGGTGACCTGCTGTGCGGAGGTGAGGGGCACTAAGGGCAGTGAGAGGTACTAAAATCTCCATTTCTCCAGGATATTTTACTGGGGGAAAGAAAAGTGACGTAAGACAATTCACAACGTAAGACAGTGGATTCTCAGGATGGTAGACTTTGTATGGGTGAGTTACTGAGAGCAGATTGTCTTATGCGTTCCAGCCCTCACCCAGTCAGTCTCAACAAATGTGTGTTGAATGAACGAATGAAAGAATGAATGAGCAGATGAACGAAGAATGTGTGAAGGGGCCGATGGAGAGAGATGCATCTTGATCACACAGTGTGAACAATAGCAGGGAAGCAAGGGTGAGTGTGATGTCGCGATATCACAGAGTCTGTAAGGGGAGAAGGCCCAGAGGGTCTTGCTGGCAGACACCAGGAGACGAATCTGGGGAGATCTGTGGGCTGGCCTGTTGAGGTGTGGGCTTGGGGGTTGGAAGTCACTGTGTGGGCACCGCAGAAACCTTGGAGGGTGCTGAGCACATGGGCCTCGCGGTGCAGGAGGGATTGTTGGAAGGTCTGTCTGGTGCTGGCAGTTCATCAGAGGAGTGAGAGAGGTGTGCCTGGCAAGACGGGGGGGCTACTGGGGCTTTTGAGAGAGAGCAGGGGGAGGGGCAGAGGGAGAGGGAGAAGCAGACTGCCCGCTGAGCAGAGAGCCTCATGCGGGGCTTGTGCGGGGCTTGATCCCATGACCCTGAGATCATGACCTGAGTTGAAATCAAGAGTCAGACACTTAACTGACTGAGCCTTCCAGGTGCTCCTGGTGTCTTCTGTAAGTGGGGTAGCTGTTCTTCCTGGGTGCCTGGGAGGTTAACTTAGTTAATGTATCTGAAGCACACAGGTCAGTGTCTGGAACACAGTAGCTCTCAATAAATGGTTGTTATTAGTATTCTTTTAAGGACCTCCATGGTGCCCATCAGAATTCGTTGGCAGTGGATTTAGCCCGGTATAAGAAAGATTCAGAATCTGTCTCCATAGGCTCTATAGGCATTCTTTTCTTAGGATGTAAGTATGGTTTCAAGAACTTGACACACTCCCCTTGTTTGATAGTCTGTCATCATTGTCATCACGATCACCACTTGAATAATTTCTGTAGTACGAGCTGAATTCCAACCTAGAAAGCATTGTTCATGGTGGCAGGTGACAAGCTCAGAAGGTAAGTGATCCTCAGGCCTTGGTAACTCATCTGCTCAGAGAAGACTCTTTAGGGGGGAAGGTGGCAATTTGGATGTTTCTGTATTTTTGCTTAATATCAGGACAAAGTTCTTTCTTACATAGTCGGTGACATTTCCAACATTCATCCTGAGTTTGCTTCTCATCTTGGTGAAACCAATGTCCAAGATGATCCTCAGCTGCTCTCTGAATCCAGCGAAAGCCACAGATTTTTCTATGCCACTTTTGGTTTCGTTTTACAGCAACACTGGGCCAAACTATAACAAAGAGGGCTGTTTAGACACAGTGGATGAATGGCATCTGTTCCTGGGCTCAGCCGGCATCATGAAGTTGCCCGGACCTGGTTAGGGACTATTCAGAGACACAGTTGTTGCAGTTCGAGCCTCTGCTCTTCAGCAATTGCATCGAGACCATGTGGTCCCATCCTCACACCCTTGTGAACATAATGATTAGACTCCCTATAAAACTGGGACTTCAGGTGAATCCTTAGGCAATCCCAATAGCCTTAATTTAAAGAAACAACCTTGTTCAGGATGTCTTAATGCTCTCCTGCTGTGTTGGCTCAAGTGATCAATTTTATAGGTTGCTTGAGCTATGACATCTGCAAGGTAAAATAAGCCCCAAATCTGCCAGGGGCACGGCAGCATGCTCTTGGAACCTCTGGACTGGCGTGATGTGCTGACCCCAGGGCCCCAGGAGGGGAGCCAGCGACCCAGCGGGGGCCTGTGCAGCTGCAGGGCAATGAAGCTGGCTGATGGAAAGAGAAAGAAAACGATCAGAAGATTGTCAGTGATGAATCTCCCTTCTTATCTTTCCCAGGTGAGCCTTTTTCTCAGGAAGAAATGGAAGAAATGCTGTCTGCTGCCATTGACCCAGAATCGAACTCCATTCATTACAAGGACTACATAGCCATGATGGTGGTGGACGACAGCTAGATGCTGGAGACGTAATTTCTCACCGAAAGGATGACCGTAGAGATGGCCTGTCCCTGTTAATTTCACATCTTATAATTCCTGCACATGCTAATTAATGCCCAGTGACAACTATTTCACAATACTTTGTTTTTTAAAGATGAACACAAATTTATTTGGTATGTCTGCCTTATGTAATGACCAATGGCTAATTATTTTAAAGCTTATTCTTAAAAACATTTTAACATTATCCATGGATTGTTGTGGATTTTCTACAATAAAACCCCGGTGACCTCCAAATTCATTACACTGACAAAATGAAGAATGACCAGAATGACCAAGGTTTGGCATAAAAAGATCTTGGGAGGGGGCAGGGTGACCACAAAGTGAGGACCAGTATCAACGTGGTCAAAGCAACAAACAACAAACCTTCAGCATCTGGATGGGGAGGGGGAGTTGTTGAAAGGAATATTAATAATTAATCCCTTATGAGTGTCGATTACAAATCTAATTTGAAATGTTAGTAACTTAGTGTAAAAATGTAAGTGTGCTAATCCAGTGTGTTACCATTGTGCGGAGTAGCGAATGGAGTTGAGGTCACTGAATCTAGAGACAAGAAGACTGAATGGAAATTGACAACATAAGGAGTGACTGTTCTCTTCCGGTCTTCAGAATTCTTAGCTATTCTAATCAAATTTAAATAAAAAAATAAACAAAAAAAGAATTCTTAGCTATTCAGAATAGCTGCTGTGAGAATAGTGTTCTGAATACTGAGTAAGAATATTGAGAAATTGTGTGGTATGGAGGAGCTACAGCTGTGGGAAAAGCAGAATAAAGTCTGAACACAAGGAATCATGATGGAGAAAGACCCAGGGACTCATAAGCAAAGGGCAAAATAAGGTGAATAATCTTCCATAACCTATGTGTTTTGTCATGCACACACAGTGATTTCTATTTGAAGATGCTCCACCCCCCCCAACATTTGATGTTGCTTATGATTCTTCCTCCTAGGTATCGGAGAGATGATTTGTCACTGTTTGTTCATTGGTTCATGAAACATTTATTGAATATTAGGTACTCTGTTAGGAACTGGAGCAGCGAGGTGGCTCCATCCCTAACCCATCAAGGTTACAGTTTAGTGGGGGAGATCTGCAAGTCAGTCAGCAACCACATTTCAGGCTGGGGCACATTCAGGGTGCTGTGGAAGTGCAAAAGAGGGGCAGCTCACTCGGCCTGGTGGGTGAGTTTCTGGGTGAGGAAAGGGTCTAGTGAGCAGAAAGGGCCTCCCAGAACAGGTGACACCTAAGGTAGAGGCAGGTAGTTTACTAAGCTGGTGGCGGGACACAGGGGGTTTCCACAGGGGAGCAGTGAGTACAGACACCCTGGGGGTGTCATAAAACATGGAGCACTCTGGGAATTCAAGGTAATGTAGGAGATTTGGGGGAACATGATGAGAGATGAAATTGGGGTGGTAGACAGGAGCTGTATCGTTAAGGATATTGGGTTGGTCATACAGTTAGGTTTTTGTGTTAGAATTTGGACTTTTTCTGAAGATCACAGAGAAAGATCATTTGTAAATTGTATGGAAAATGATCTTGAAGAGTCAAGACTAGAAGCAGGGAGACCAGGTGGTAAGGGAGTTGGTTGGTGGAAGGGGATAGGTTGGGAAAAGCCAAGTGGGTGGACAGCAGGTGGATTATAGAGAGCCATTTATTTAGTGAGGAAATCAAGAGGCAAGTCAGCGTTGGTGGGCAAAATGGGGAGTTTGGCGGTGGACATCCTGGGATCGGCGACCTAGTGAGACACCCAGGGGAGACATCCAATCAGTTGGGTCAGTAGGAGGAAGATCTAGCAAGAGAGATGGATTGTGGAGGTCTCAGCAATAGTTAAGCAAAAAACTAGTAGAAGAGTAGTGGAAAGGAAAAAGAAGAGCGTCGACAGTGCAGGGGGGACGTCAGCATTTAAGGGCGAGCAGAGGAGGAGGAGCCCACGAGATGCAAGGGGGAGAGGAGCATGAGGAGAAGCCAAGTGCCGCAGAGAGGGCAGGTAAATTGAAGACGGAAAATGTCCACCAGTTGTGGCAGAGTTCACTGATGGCCTCTGAGGAACAGATTTGGTGAGTGACAGGGTACAGGGTTCAGTGACTGGAGGGCCAGAACGCTGTGGGCAAGTGCAGCATGAGGACAAGGCTGGAGAGAGACTGCAAGGCGGAGGGACTGATTTTCAGCCGAGCGGAAGCATGCAGGTTTGTCCTCCGAGGGCTGAGGGCCAGCACGGAAGCTGAAGACCCTAAGGAAGCAGGAGGGGCTGGATTCCAGAGCAAGAAAAGGGTTGCTCTGGGGTGGGTTGGAGCAGCGAACCAGCGTGTACAGCTTCTACCCAATGGCCTCGGTTTCATTGTCGAACGAGGAAGAAGGGAGTGGGTTACGGAGCAGGAGATGAGTAAGAGCCCATGTAAGGATTTTCAGGGAATCCTGGAGGATTGTGTTCAGTAACCCAGGCTCAGCAACGAGCACGGAGGGTTGCTGTGTTGACTCAGGGTTCAGGTTTTGGCATCTGGGATGGAAGCAACCGAAGGTCCAGGCGGTTGGGAGTCACGAGCATGCAGGTGTAGTGATGGTCCGTGGAGCCCTCGTATGAGGGACAGATGCCGGGAGGAGCAGCTACCAGACTGAAAGGAGGCAGGGCCTCAGGACGAGCCTCTACAGGCAGCGACTAGTGTGTGTGTGGGGGGTGCCGGCTCCCCTGCCATTCCCAAGTAATAACCCAGGCTGCTAGAAGTTTGACTGCACTGTGTCCTTAGGGTCGTCCCATTTAAAAATAGCAAATACAAATGAGGGTGAGGAAGCATCACTTGTGGAAGGTGCAGCTATGGGAGGCATTTGTGCCCCCTGTTTCCCAGGATTCTGCCAGGGTTGAAACCCAAGTGGAGGGTTGGCGTGCGGCTCACTTAGCCATGTGTGTGAGAATCACCACCCGACGGGGGTCTGAGCCACATGCCTTTGGGCCAGGGTGGAGCAGCATGGGGAAGGGGGGTGTGGTGACCCCTCAGAGCAGGAACACAGCCTGCTTGCGATCGGGGACACCCCGCAGCCGCTGAGGAGGGCGGCAGCGACGTGAAAGGTCCTTGAAGGTAGCGCACCCAGGGGCACATGGTTCGGCAGCAGTGGCCAGCACCAACATGCCGCGGCGAAGCGTGTGCCGGTGCACAGGGCGGAGACCCAGGCATGGACTTGTTTGGGGCACATGGGCGGCTCGGGGTTCTCTTCTAGAAGCCTATTGCCCTGCATGACCCCGGTGCCTGAGAAGCACAGTGTGGTGAGTTAGCCCCGATGTCTTCATAATTTTGCTGAGGAGCAGCACCCTCCTTGAAGGATGGCTCAGGATCAGGTACTCCAGTCTAGAATTCTCTCGAAAGTTCTGACTGATGTCCTACTTCACTGCCTGTCTCAAGGAAATTCTGTCTCTTTAGTAGTCATAAAAGTTAGCTCTTTGGAATCTGATTCATTTATCTTTAGCACAAATTTGGGTTTTTTTTTAAGGCCTCCAAAAAAGAGCCACACAGACTTCCCACAGAAATCTCGTTTTATCTCCCAGTTGCAGAAAAAATGCGGCATAGTCACAAAGGGAACACTTGTCTTTCTACTCAAACCATTTCGGTTCATATTTTACCTCTCTCTCCCACTTAGCCACCGACCTCCGATTTCAACCACAAGGGCATTTTCCTGGCAAGAGGAGTGCTTGGTCTCTTGTGCAGGCTTGTCCTCATGACCCCTGGCTTCTGCAGAGCCTGCCACACCCCCCAGCTCCGCGGGGCCGGGTGGGGAGACAGCTTCATCCTCGCACCCCCGGGCTGGGGACACTGCCTGGCTCAGGGCCCGGAGCATGGGCCTGGGAGTCAGGAGGTCCCCCCACTCCGATCCCTGTGTTGTCCATGACTCACTCTGGTCAGGTGCTCCCCTGCCGTGCACCTCACATGGAAAATAGAGCCCAGCTCTGCTTCTCCCGTTTCCCAAGCATCCAAGTGCCAAATGCTAAGAGACAAAGAGAATGTCCAAGACTGGTTGGGATTTCCACTGGCAGGATTATTTTCCATGGCATGGGATGCGTCTACATCTTTCTCTCTTCCTTCCTGCTTTCCCTCCTTTGCCTTTTCTAGCTGCTCCCAGGTGAGAGAGTGCCTTGTTCATACAGCCACTTCCTCATAGAAGGTCAGTGTCACTACGTTGCCTCTTCTGGGCACGTTAAAAAAGCAGAAAGCCCCCTGGTCACATACGCCCCACCTCGTGCTGGGCAGAGCAGCTGCATGTTTCTTCAAGTCGGGTCATTAATCTCGTGCATCAGGACACCTGGAAGGGGTATCTCTTAGAAATCTGGACTCCTGGCTCCCATCCAGGCCCTTAAGACAGAACCTCTGGGGCAGTATTATATTGTGAAGTCAAGTGTGGGGTGTGGAGCTAGGCCCTGCCACTGATTGACAAGGCAGTGGGTGCAGTCATTTAATATTGCTGGGTCTCTGCATCTTAATTTGCAAAGTGGAAAGAACACTGACCTTACAGGGCTGGTGGGAAAATCAAATGAGATGATAAAAGTGAAAATTCTTTAAATGGGTATAAGGTATGACACAAATTTTACTTATAGGAAACCAGCCTGGGTAGGGAGGAAATGAAGGAGGAAAAGGAGAAAGGGGGGGTGGAGAGGGGAGAAGGGGAAGGGGAGAGGGGAGGGTGGGAGAGCGAGAGGCCCCCGCTGCCTGGGTAGGCAGGTGGGTAATAATATATTTAATCTATGGGTTGAGGGTGGACAGACACCTAAGGTAGTACTGGTAGAGATACCAGGAGATATGCTATCCTGGTGCTGTTAATTTTAAGCTCTTAAATTTACTTCTAGATTGTGAAATTCGGAGGTGTTAGGCAGTGCTTCATCTTTCTTAAAACTGTAGTAAAAAAAAAGTATAAAATGAACCATCTTAATTATTTGTTAAGTGTACAGTTCAATAGTGCTGAGTATGTTTTTGTGAAATAGATCTCCAGAACCTTTTCATCTTGCAAATCTGAAACTTTATACCCATTAGACAATGCCCCTTCCCCCCCTGCCACTAGCCAATACTATTCTACTTTGTTTCTGTGAGTTTGATGACTGTGAGTTAGATACTGTGTGTAAATTGAATCATACAGTATTTGTCTCTTTGTGACTGGCTTATTTCACTCAGCATAATGTCCTCAAGGGTCATCCATGTTGTAGCAGGTG